TAACATGTTGATTTTGACATTTTTTTTTTTGTTTCATCGACACCTGGAAAAATCAGTCTGGATCATCAGAACAATTTAAGTTAGAATTGCTGATAAAGATTAAACCAATAATACAACAAACTAAAACCACAGAAATAGATGGAGACTGCCAGCAAAAGACTGTAGACTGAGAAGAAGCACAAACATGGAACATGAAAATTTAGAGGAAGAATATGAGTCTGAAAGTAGAGAAATAAGAAGAGATGTTGGAAGAGAATTCAGAGAGAACAGTTTTAGAGAAGACTAACTTGTTCAAACAAGTGTCAAAATGGAGCCCAAATCCCAATACAGGGCAGAAGAAGTCACGGAAAATAAACTTTAAGCTGTGAAGCTCTATCATGCAATGAGTAATCCTTGGATTTACATACACTTAGGTTCAAGTCCTCCCTACCACCCTTACTGGCTGTGTAAATCTTAGGCAAGTGACTGTACCTCTGGAATCATCATATTTCACATTTTTAAAATTAAAATAATAATTATATCTACCTTATAAGATTATAGGAGCTTGCGTGGCACAATGGTTAAAGCATTTGGCTGCTAACCAAAAGGTCAGCAGGTTGAACCTACCAGCTGCTCCACAGGAGAAAGGTGAGGCAATCTGCTTTCGTTAAGATTCACAGCTTTGGAAACCCTAAGAGGAAGTTCTATACTGTCTTGTAGGGTCACTATGAGTCATCATTGACTTGATGGCAATTTTTTTTTTTTAATATAAGATTATTGTGATTTTAGAATGAACTAATGTATGTACAGCACTAAAGAAGCTGTCTGGTATAATCATACACATACACACACCTGGGAAATAGAAATTGTTCAATGCAAATTTAATGCCAGAGAAAATAAAATAATAGAGAAATCATCAAATTACTTCCCATCACTCGGAGGAGTGCTAGATACTGTGTAACAATTCAAGTTGTGTTTCTGAACAAACAATATTGGTGTCAGAGCAATTTAATTCATTTTCTTTGAAGAATTTCTGGGTCATGGAGGTAAAAAGAAAGTAAAAGACTGAATACAATGGAACTACCTGGGCTTTCTGTCTGTCTCCATGACATTTCCATCACTTAGGTTGGAAGAAATTGTTTAGACCATCATGCTCCCAAAATAACGTTTTATAGGAAGTTATTGGGTGTTCCATGAAATAAATGAGTTTGGGAAATACTGGGTAAAATAGGTTACCTTACTGTAGGACTTCTCAAATATTTTTAATAAGGTAATATGAATATTTAAGAGTTGGCAGATTACAGCATTTTCCAAATTTATTTGATCATGGGATTCTTTTAAAAGTTATAGAATACAGCTTTGGAAATAGGTATAGATGATACTATATTTTCTTTTCTAGAGTTATGGTTCCTAAAATATGATTATGACATTTTCAGCAAGTATTTATAGAAATATATCATGTATTATCAAAGAGATCGGAGTTTAAAGAGGTGTTCCTTAATACTTTATTTGTGAGCTAGACAATAGGAATCAAGACAACCTTGATTAAGCATGAAGTTAGATAGAATTTCTATTTATTTGGAAGACAGGAATGAAATTCAAAGGACATTCAAAATAGAACTCTATATCAAAAATAGAAATGGAGATCAATAACAAGAAGGAGAAAGATGTCTTACAGATAAAACTAAGCTTTGTAGAAAAATAAGATTTTTGATACAGACATATATGGTTTTAAAAGGCCCAGAAAACAAAATAGGTCTTCATTAAAAGTGCAATGAATAAAAATATCATCACCAAAGATACTACTTCTGCCTTTGCCAAAATTATTGTAGTGAAAACCATAGGGAAATGGTGTGACTCCATGTTATAATGTTGGGGTTCTTTTTTCTCCTGCCTTTATATGTTCCATACAAAAGTGGCCTTGAAATTGCTCAGGAATGTAGGACCTCCAAAGGTGCTATGAATCTCAGGAAGGTCCCAGTTTAGGGTAGCTCTGAGTAAAGGGTTGGGTGTCCTTAAAGGAGGATCTTGTAATTTCTGGGTTTAATGAAGGTCTCCTAGTTCTCTAGTTAAAACTTGTTGTGGTTGTAGACAGGAACTCTTCTTCTTATTCAGAAATTATTCTGCCTGCTGGAGATTATGCTAAATGGAGAAAATATTTAATACAGAGGACATTTCCAGACGTTGAGGACATAGTGCTAAGGGATCAAAAGTTGCAGCCATTTCTTAGGTGTTATATTAGAGTATGGTATATCCTAGGTGGGTTTATTACATAATTGACTCCAAAAGCACCAAGTAGAATGTTGTGAATACATGAGTGCATATGTGTGGGTGCATGTATGTAACAAAAAGTCAATGTGAAATGAGAATCATTTGAGTCTCATGAAGTCCTGTGCCTGGCTTCAAGTATCACATTAGGTAGGAGATATGAAATCCTCATCACATTAAAATTATAGTTCATGATGCCTAACCTGGAGAAGAAAATATTCTGGGATTAATACAGTTCTTTAACTACTTGAAAAAAAAAAAAAAAAAAGATTGGAAACTAGGAAGACACTCAGTGTTGATGTTAAAAAATAATTTGTCAAACAATTAAAATTGTCGATGGACAAGACTGCATTGTAACAACAACATAAATCCTAAAACTAGAATTATTTTTGAACACTTACTTTATGACAGGTGTTATGCTTAATACTTTACATATATTAGCTTAGTCAATCTTCTCAAAATCCCTATGAGGTAAAAACTATTATTATCCTCAGGATACAAATGGGAAACTGAGTCATGGAGACATGAGCTTCCTTTTCAATGTCACTCAACTAGGGAATGTAGGAACTAGGATTTGACCCTGGAACCTGTGCACCAAACCACTATGTTGATTACTTCCATTCCTGAACATTTTAAAGCACAGTCTGATGTGTCAAAAATCCATCACAAGAAGTTCTTTCCATTAAAACTTTTCTATTATAAGACTAAACCACTGCAGATAATCTCAAATCTTTCACTTAATTTCTGCCATATTAAGGACTAAAACATTGAATTGGATTCTGCTGGCCATTGCGTCTATTTGTCACCTTCATATTTTAAGAGATATGGAAAAGTCAAGAAGTCTAGAGAAGGTCCATAAAAACTAAGGAATGGATGGGCAATGGGGCCTCCAAGGAAAATAAAAAGAAGTTATATTCCTTTGGCCAGTGAGTGACTTGGCAATCTTTAATATGCAAAAAGGCGAATATACATCATTTCTAGAAACAATATTAATTTCTCATTTCAGTGAGAAAGCTTGCCTTCCCAGTGAGGGCATCTTGAAATAAAGACTTTGGGATACAATTGTGGGTAGAAAAAAGCAGGGTCATGTTAGAAAGGAAGCTGATGCCCCCCCCCCCTAGTTTCTCTCTGGAGGCCTTGGCAAGTTGGCTCTCCCTGAAGAAAAGCAAAAATGCCAGTCAATGTTTGTGAACTCCACTCTCTTCCACCCTGCCTCACCAGAGATGTAGCCAACCCTGAATATGAAATCTGAGATATTGTCATTTGGGAAAGCTTTAAATTTGACAACTGCGTTGATACGTATACTTAGGTAGCCAGGCATAGTGTATTATAAAAAATAACCTCCTGAGAGTCCTTCTCAATTCATGAGTCTGTGACCCTCAACAATTGAGGAAAACCCACAGAGTCTCTGTTAATAAAATTACCTTGAAAAATCAACATTTCTGTTCAACAGAGCTTTAACATATTAATTTTAGGAGCTAGACTGTCAGTTTTTTCTCTGATAGAAAGAAACGGAATACCTTTACAAAGAGGTGTTTTTTTTTTTTAACCTTTAGAAGGATTTTTTGTTTTTTTTTCTGCCTCGTAGAAATTTTATCATAATTTCACGCCCCACACTTCAAGGCTTGTTACTCAGTCCATTACTCTTACATTTAACGTGATAAGGTCCTGGTTCCTGTGATATTAGTTTTAGGTTTTGTCTGCTCACAGCTGCTGCTTTAAAGTGCCTGATAACATTACGAGCCTTAGTGTCCTTTCAAATTCTTATCCCCTCTGCTGCTGACTAACCTGCAGCTTCTGTTACTTCTCACTGACCGGATGACCTTTTTCAAAGAGGGCAAACCTTGGGCTTTTGCAGGTGGCTAAAGGAATTGGGCAATTTATTCTGGAAGTAATCCCCTCCCTTCTTGAACATGTCAGAGCATGTTTTCCTGTGGATGCACAGGTATTTTGGTGGGGCAAACACATGAGTGATAATGAGGCATCATAGATGATTCCTGTAAACACAGGCAATGCTGGTACTCTTTTCACATGCACACAAACATCCCTTTTGTTAACATAGTTCCCGCAGGCTCATTATCCAAAGGTGGCCTCTAATGACAAGATCCCAGGTAGACTTGGCTTCAACTGCCCAAGTTCAGCAAAAGCTGATTATTTCACTGTGCAAATGTAGTCCCTAGGTAAAACTGGAGAGGGAACTATTATCTGGACAAGCATCTCTCAGGTTACCTGACATGCGAATGAGATTATAAACATTCAGAGAAATTCTGGAAGTTGTTTATGGCTAACACGAAGTTCAAGTTGGGAGTTTTGAAGGGCTTTGTTATTTAAATAGGAATTTAATTTTGGGGAGGAAAAAAGTACCTCCTGCTTCATCCACTTAGAACAAATTGTTTCTGTGGGTTCAATAATTTCTAACACGTTTAGTATGAATGTTGAAAGAGTGCTAAAAATTATTGTTGTTGTTGTTGTGTGCTGTCGAGTCAGACCCGACTCATAGCGACCCCTCCTTGGGTTTCCGAGGCAGTATCACTACAGGAAGTAGATTGCCCCATCTTCCTTCTGAGGAGTGGCTTGTGGGTTTGAACTGCCAGCCTTCTGGTTAGCAGACAAAATGGGGACTAGCGTTTTAGCAGCATTTTGAAGAATGGTACAATAAGTAAGAGGAATAAAATCACAATTGCAAGCAGAATTGAGAGGAACTCTCAGGCCATTGTACACAAAATATGGTGTGACTGAGCAAAGTTACTCACAGGTATTTGCAGTGCCTTTGGGGATGGGGAGATATGAGCCTGGACTCCAAGGCCGGCCCTGATAATTCTTCTTGCACTTTCCACAGTCTGGACCTGTAGTGTTGTGCTCACATTCACATGTCAATTTGCTGTTGTCATATACACACACAGTGGCATGGAGATTACACTTGCACCTAGGCAGAGAAGAAACAAAGAATTCATGGTAAATTAAGCTGGCCTAAGTGACCACTCAGCTTTACAGGTTTATCTCCTGGGTTTGTGGCTCTCACACCTAGCATGGCTCCAGTGGTAAAGAGGATCTTGGTAAAGTATGGATTCCCAGGCCCCATCCTCAGAATCTGGATTTTCAACAAGTGCCTTGGGGCTTTCTGATGCAGCCCAGCCTCATAGCACAATTTGAACAATCCTAATTCAAGTCACTGTAGTGAGGGCCTGGATCTTCATAAACTAGAAATTGTGCTCAGGTATCAGGGTTTTCCAACAGGTATGCAAAATATTTCCATCTCTGGATGGCACAGATGGTTAAGCGCCTGCCTACTAACTTAAAGATTGGAGTTTCAAGCACCTTGGAAGGAAGGCTTAGTGATCTACTTTGGAAAAATCAATCACTGAAAACCCTATGGAGCACTGTCATACTCTGACCCACATGGGCTCGCTGTGAGTCAGGATCAACTCGACAGCAATTGGTTAGTGACAGGTTTCGCTATGCTTTTATCAAATCTATGACAATTTCATCTGGGTCTAAAGAACAATATCTTTGTTTTTGTTTTTAACTGAAAGTACAATTCTTACTTGTTTAAAAGAAAGATAACTATTAAAACAATTGGTTATTCAGACTTATTGTTATAGATCCAAGAGGTTATAATTAGAGTATTCTCATCCCTGGCTCTGAAATGAAATTTCCTTGCATCATACGTTTTTCCATTAAAGCCCCTAACACACTTGAGGGGGGTGGTGAGGCGGCAATCATCAGACTCCTCCTTTTTGACTAAAAAGGTCTCTTAGAAATGGCCCTAATGACTGACAAAGATGCTTAGAATTCTAGAAAATAAAACCTATGTGTGGCAGGGATTTGAGGTTATTAGCCAAGGCTTTGCATTACTGGCTGTGAATAAGTCTGTGATATATGAGAGGCAACAAAGGAATACGCAATTTCCACAAAAATGCATCCCTATATCCAAAATCTTTGACTATAAAATTGCAAAGGCCAACTTGATATTTGTTGAGGCAGCAGGTTATAAATTGTACCACACCAAGCACAGGCTGCATCCTCTGAAAGGTAAAACCTAAGTTGACAGAATGACCATGACCAGAGGTCAGAATAATGTAAGTGACCAGTGATGTGTCCACACCAAGGAGGGGGAGCCTGGGTACCCAGGCCAGAGGACAAACTACCTAGATTTCTCACAGTCAGAGTCTGACAGTCTTGCTTTAAAACAAAACAAAACAAAACAAAAAAACTGAGCCTGACCTCTTCTAGGAACTAGGACAACATATAGGAAGCTGAGTTTCACAAAAACAAAAACATATTGTAGATTTATTTATTTTTTTCTTCTGTGGCAGATGTCAGAGTCACTAAAGGTAACCAAATACTTTTTCTTGTGTAGGAAAATGAGATTCTTTCACAACTGATACTGGTTTCTGTAAAGTTTATTTTTCTTTTGGGCATTTGTGATCTGTTTGGAACACTGACCCACACTTAGGACAAGGAAGCCAAGGAATGGCTAAGACACTTATTGAGAGCTACAAGGGTTTCTTCTAACTACCAGGGGGAGTTTTTAAAGCATTGGTCACCCACATCAACCTCCGTGGGCTAAGAGCCAGCCTCAGCTTCCCTTGGAGACTATCACCATCTGTAATACTTCTAATCTATAATGTGTCCTCTATGTAGTTATGAATTATATTATTTAAACAACACCTATTCAACTCAGATACATAAGTGACATCTTTTAGAATGATCATTTGTACAATCTTTTAAAACAAGTGCCTGGTAAGAGGAAAAGTAATTCCATTAAGGTAAATAAAATCAAACCCACTGCCATGGAGTTGATTCTAACTCATAGCAGCCCCCACTGGGTTTTGAAGGCTGTAAATCTTTACAGAAGTAGACGGCTTTATCTTTTTCCCTCCAAGTAGCTGGTAGGTTTAAACTGCCGACCTTCTGGTTAGCAGTCAAATGCCTTACCCACTATACCATCAGAGCTCCTTATTAAGTTAGACAGTGTTTAATTTTGAGCCAAGTCTTATAACAGTGTCCTATATGCAGGAATCTTTCTCCTTCCAACATTAGCACCTTTATTTATGTGTATGTTTATATATATGGAGGATGTTTGAGACCTAAGTGATAGAAGTGCCACCTTATACTGATTTAGCACACTGTTTAGTGTTAAAAATTCCAGATTAGGAAATGAACAATGTGACCCCAAAGAATTTGCTGTTTTCATGTGTGAAGACCAAGAATGCAAGCGGCAATTGCAAATTGGATTATCTGTCTTGTAACTGTTAATACTTTCATATTTGTAGTCACTCTGAGTTATAGGCAATTTCCATTCTAAAGACATTATATTGGCTAAGAAAATATTCTTTGAATAACAAAAGGAGATAAAAAGAGAATAGATAAATGTTTACTCCTGTTTTTTGCAGATCTGTTCCAATTAATTGATCATCCTCACTTGTCCACAGCCTTATTAATCATGCTAATAAAATCAATTTATAGCTCTTCCCTGAAATGTGTCCTGACCACTGTAGTTACTACGATCTCTCCTCTTCTGATTTCTCTTCCTGCTTACGATGTGTTTGGTCCAGTTTATCGTTACATAAGGCTATTGATGTTTTTATTCATTCCACAAGTCTCTTACATTTAAGGGAGGAAGTACCCTCCTCATATACCAGTCTTCTCCAGATACTTCCTTAATTTTCTCCTCTCCCTGTTTGAATTTTTGATACTTCCCATCTCCATATTCTCATCTCTTACTTACTCATTCCTTCCAAGTAATCACAACATTTCTTTCCAAGACCACCCATAACTCTCTTGGGGGAAAATCTATATAGCACATTTGGCTGTCTTCGGTGACCTCTCAGTGGTATTTGAATCTGTGGACCATGCTCTTTTCCTTTAAACTCCCCACCCACATACCCTGGATTCTCAGGAATCTCTCTTCTTCTGCCTGTTTCTTTCACGAGGTATATTCCTTGGGTTCCGGCTCAGCACAGTCAGCGGCACCCTCTCCTGGGTATTCTCATTCAAACAGATCCTTCATTTTCCCTCTGTGCTCCTCACCCACTGCCATTAAGTTGATTCTGACTCATAGAGACCCCTATTGGGTTTCCAAGGCTGTAAATCTTTACAGAAGCTGATTGCCTCATCTTCCTCTCATGGAGCAGCTTGTGGGTTTGAGCCACCAACTTTCTAAGGTTAACAACCAAATGCCTTAGCCACTAAGCCATCAGAGCTCCTTGGGCTCTTAACCACCTTAAAATAAATAAATGAATAAATTAAAAAGGACCTTTTCAAGCAACAAGGGAAAAAAAAATGAACATACACAAAATAACCTAAAAAATTTGAAAATATTTTAGGAGATTTAGAGATTCTCTGAAACTGACACATGTACCCCTAGGGAACCACAGATAATTTCCCTTCCTCCAATCCTCCAATTCACCAAGTGAAGAATATCCAACCAATATGTTGAAGGTCTGGATCAGTGTCTCCATCACAGATCTCTCTGCTGGGTTTCTGGTTTATTTATCAAAATGTTTCCTAGAAAAATTCAATTGCATGTAGAACTGCCCCATGGGGTTAAAGTCAACATATCTCAAAACAAACTCTTTGGCTTTTCTCTCCTATTTACTCCTTCTGTCTTTTCTTTCTCAGTAATTTGCTTCACCTTCCACCCAGTGTGCCAAGAACGGCTCTTCCTTCTCCTTTCTTATCACATCTCATCTGTCACTTACTCAGTCTCTCACCAAGTCCTAGGATTCCTCCTCCTCAATATCTCTGAAATCCATACAGTACTAACCTCTGCCACTTCTTAGTTGAGACAATCATCTTCAGCCTGATTTACTACAACAGCTTTTATCAGACTTTTCAGCCTCTGGTTATGCTCTTCTCCAGCCCAATACCAACACAATAGTCAGATAAATGTTTTAAACAAATTATTTGGGCCATCCTTGATTTAAAACCATCCAAAGATGTCTTATTGACATCAAGGTAGAGTCCAATTTGTGTAACATGGCTTACAAGCCCCTTTGCCATCTACTTCTTAGCCCTTCTCCAGCCTCATCTCTACTGCTCCTAACTCTATCTACACTGAGCTCATTAAACTGTCCTTCAGGAAATCATAAAAGCTTTACCTTTTGCCTAGAACACTATACTTTCCTATGTCTACCATTTTTAGCTGGGTAACTTTTACCTTTCCGGTCTCACTTCAATATCTCAATTCCTAGCTCTTTGATGACATTCAAAACACACTCCCTGAGCAACTACCTGAATGCTTCTCTGATGCACCATGACTGGGCAAGGTACCTTTCCTATGTGCTTCTATAGCATCAGGCAAGACCAGTCACATAATAATGCCTATACTATTTCTGCTATAGACATAGACTGTATTTTAATTATCTTCTCTTCTGTCACCTCCACTAGAGTGTAAATTGCTGGATGGCAGGAGTCATGTCTGTTTTATTTATTGTAACATCCTAAGTCTGTATCAGGGGCTTAGGACAAAATGATTGCCCCCCATATTTTTAAAAAGTAAACAAAATAAACAAGTGAATTTCCTAAAAGCAGAAACTTGATGTTCATGTTCTATTATGACTAGTACAGTAATGGACTAGTAATAGGCATTGTTAAGGCATTTCACTAAATCAAAGGAGTCTTGCTGGTACAGTGGTTAAAGTTCTTGGCAGTTTGAACCCACCAGCTACTCCACAGGAGAAAGATGTGACAGTCTGCCTCCATAAAGATTTATGGCCTTGCAGGATACAAGATCAACATACAAAAATCAGCTGAATTCCTCTACACCAGCAAAGAGATTGCTGAAAAAGAAATAAGGAAATCAGTACCATTTACAATGTTCTTGCTGTTAGGTGCCATTGAGTCATCTCTGATTCATAGTGACTCTATGCACAGCAGAACGAAACACTGCCCAGTCCTACGCCATCTCCATGATCCTTGCTA